GGAGAAGGTGATTGGGGCTATCTTATTTGCTGATTTCGATTCGTCAACAATGTAGGTGATCATCGGGGATCCTTAGCTTCTCTTGTATAATTTCTCTGGGCATTCCTAGTGTTGCCACCGACGTGGGGTCCCCCAACGATGGTATCGATTTCCCTGATGACCTGGCCTCCCGAATATTGGGCTTGGTTCCCCTACCTGGATTGGCCTCGATTCCTCGATTCTCTTCTACGAGGAGATTGTTCCTGGTGACCTCTCCCTCCCCTCCTCAGGGAGGTGGATCTGCGAGGGTGTTCGTTTCTGCTGGAAGTGTGAGGGTTGCTTCGATCAGGGCGCCGATTGGCATCACGACACTCGCTGGTGTCATGTCCGTATAGTTGATGGAATGTACAAAACCTTGCTCCTGCCAAGGGTCTATTTGGCCTCTTTTTCTTCTTCTTATTGTTGTCAGTTCTTCCAGATGGTCCCGCCTCAGCAGGTGCGTTATCATATACCAACACTAGCACTACATTCAATGTGGCGGAAGCTAGGGCCTGTCCGGATGTGGGAGCTTTGGTATGCCCTGCTTGGGTCCATTGCTGAGTAACAAGGTGTGCTGCGGGGCCTCGACCTACCTGCCTCTGTGGAGGAAGGAGTCCCTGCGCGGCACGGTTGCAATGATCAATCATTTCTTCACTAACAATCTTCACTCTCATCATTTCCACCAGCTCGTCGTATGTGGAGGGATTCTTGCCGTGCACGTCTCTCCAAAACAAAGTGTTCATGTTGAGCCCACCTTTCAAGGCGGAAAGGGCTTCCCTATTAGTGACCTGCTCGCAGTAAGTAATTTCGTCTGTAAACCTGGCGAGATAGCTTTTTAGCATCTCTCCAGGGGCCTGCCTCATGTCCTGTAGGCGTTGAATTGGCGCCTCTCCTTCCCTGCGTGAGAGGTACTGGTTCAAAAATACTTTCTTCAAATCTGGCCAACTTCTGATGCTTAGGGGAGGAAGCCTGCTGTACCACACCTCGGCGGCTCCGCCTAGTGTTAAATGGAAGGCTCTGCATTTTAGAGCAGACGAGGCTCCCCTAAGGCTCATTTGTGTCATATACTTTGTGAGGTGCTTCTCCGGATCCCCCTTTCCCTCATACTTGGGGATCTTAGGGGGCATGAAGTTAGCTGGCATTGGGAAGCTTCGAATCTCCCTTGAAAAAGGGAGGTTATCGTCATCATCATCAAGCTCATAAGATCGACAGGGCCCCTCTGATCCTTCATCATCTTGGATGTCCTGGGGTGGTAGAGGTGCTTCTTCCCGACTCCTCCAGTCGACTAGGTTTCTCCTCTCCCTCCTATTTCTAGGAGGAGGAGGGGGAACATGCTCTTGTTCGCGATCTGAACGAACTGACCTTCTGCTGGGTGGACCCTATTGCTAGGATCCTCCCCTATCCGATCGAAGACGTCCCTCATACTTGGGGATCTTAGGGGGCATGAAGTTAGCTGGCATTGGGAAGCTTCGAATCTCCCTTGAAAAAGGGAGGTTATCGTCATCGTCGTCAATCTCATAAGATCGACAGGGCCCCTCTGATCCTTCATCATCTTGGATGTCCTGGGGTGGTAGAGGTGCTTCTTCCCGACTCCTCCAGTCGACTAGGTTTCTCCTCTCCCTCCTATTTCTAGGAGGAGGAGGGGGAACATGCTCTTGTTCGCGATCTGAACGAACTGACCTTCTGCTGGGTGGACCCTATTGCTAGGATCCTCCCCTATCCGATCGAAGACGTTTACCGACGTCTGGTCGTCGTGTTCTTGAGGAAAGTTGTCCCCCAAGGGTGGTTCTGATGGATGACTCCATTGCACATAAGATGTTGCTTCGGCGTTCATCTCTCTTTCGAGGGGGCATTCTGTGTGCCGGCTCATGTGGTCCCGAGAGTGAGATAAAGGGATTTCCTGCACCGGATAAGATCCTTGGGGCCTTTGATAGCTCTGGTGGCCCTGGGCTTGCATGAGGAGTTCCTACATCGCCATATTCTGAGCTGCTATGTCTCTCATACCCGCAGCTATCTGAGCCATTCTTTCAGTGAGTATGGCTGTTCTTCCGCCTCGGCGACGC